ATTCAATAATGGAGGACTACTGCTATAAGCCTGTGATTGCTTTTTGGCTTGCTGGTATCACCCACTTTGCAAGGAGTCAGGATCTACTGATTGGCCTGCTCCAGGCAACTATGGACCTTGTGGGGTTTCAGGGGTAGCTTGGGGTTTTCTCTGAGGACCTGATGGGTAGTTCAACTGAGGCCTTGGTTGCAACCTGGAATGGGTGGATGGCTGAAGCCTTTCCCTGTGCACCAATTCTGAGGATTGTCAGGAAAGGAAGTGTCAAAAGAGATGCCTGCAATACCAATGGAATCCAAAGGGGGAATCTGACCGAACACAAGAAAGAGCTCATATTTAGATTAAAGGTAAACCCTGTCCAGTCATATCCAGTTCTACAGTAAGAGATGGTGCTCATCTCTGTTTCTTAGCTGAAGGAGCCAACACTGTTCGAAGACACTTCTGTGGTCATGTGGCCAGCATGACTATACACCGAGGGGCACGGAACGCTGTTATCTTTCCACCAAAGTGGTAACTTGAATTTGTATGCTTTCAAATTGCTAGGTGGGCAGGAGTGGGGGCAAGTACTGGGAGCTCACCCCATCACAGAGCACTGAATCCGGGCTGTCAGCTTTCCAGCTGACCAGTTCAGTGTTTTTAACCACTAAGCCATCACGCCCCCACTATATATATTTAGATTACACTGTAGCAATAAGAGTGGCATAACAGTGTGATTTCTCTGCCTTTACTGCATCCATTAATAGCTGAGCCTTAGTCCTGTTCAGGTGATTTGCTCCTTGCTAGGAAAGGACAAGTCACAGAGATTTTTATTAGGCTGCTGTGTTGAATATTCTAGTTCTTTGGTGGATAAAGTTGGCCAGATTCACTCAGAGTTGAATTCCAAGTGGGCAGGTTCAGATGAGATGCCTGAGAGATGGTCTTGTGTGTTTACCTTTCTGTAAACATCTACATGGAACTGCTGGGTAAGACCACTCATCAGACTCTGGTATCATCAATGTCAATGATGATACCCAGTAGTACATTCAAGCCTATAATTTCTAAGTGTTCCTGTTGATATCCTAGAATCTGGATGCTATATGAATCTGGAGTGGGAGAAGCAGACTGATCTTGATAAGGCTTATTTGCTGGAGATATTTGGTCCCCCTGGCCCCAAAGCATGCCTTCTCTGTTGCAGTGCTGGGCTTCTGGAATAATATTCCTCCACAATGTTGTATGGCTCCCACCCTGATGGTATTCTGAAAGGGATGAAAAAGCTGGCTATTCTTCCAATCCTTGTTGGTTAAGTTCCTGCTAAAATCTATTTTGTTAAGTTTTATACTCTTTTGTATGTTTTTTTCTAGAGTTCTGTCATCAGTTTCTTTATTTTACTGCTCAGGCTTTCTGTTAGGTAATGTGCCCAAATTCAGTTGAAGTTGGACATTCTTTAAATCAATGTAAACAAACAGGCTGTTTTAAAGGGTTGCAGATAAGTGCAATATCACATTCACACGCACACTTAAGAAACTTTCAGGAGTTAAATCTGAAATATTGTACATAATCATGAATGATGGCAAATGAAGGCATTGTACATAATCCAAATTAATACAGGTAAATTAGATGGTAGCTGTCAATTATTTTTATTATTAAAATTAATTAGCATCTTTCTTTTAGTTGAATAATCCAATCAACTAATTAAACCATATTTAATAATATTTTCCTCAACTTGAATTTAACTCTTGGTGACTATATGAATATTTCCATGTGATTTTATTAATAATAGTATGGAATTTGTTTGCCACTTCTTCCAAGATGTTTTTCTGATTTAGCTATCAGCTTTGAGATTTCTTGGTGCTCTTCTATCCATCCTCAAGATAAACCAAGGATGACAGGTAACTACCACATACAGAGAACAAATAAGCTTAGGAATCACAATTTTTTAAAGAAAGGTTCTTTTTGAGCATTAGGCAAAAAAGATCACTTCTGAGAAATTTTATCAGTAACACACCAGCACCAAAAAGCAAATTCAATAGGTGTTATGAAACATCCAGGTTTGAAAGAGATGATTCTTTCATCTGGTATCCAATCTATTCCAGTTTGAAATTACCAACAATGATCAGCTAAAAGATTTTGCAGTTCATCTTGCTCTTATCCCACAACAGAGATACACAGTTTCTGAATATGAACATTCAGTTTAACTACTGAAGTTTATAGTAACTGATACCCCTATTCTGTTTTAGAAGACTCAAGATGTATTAGGACTGAGAATACAAATGGTCCATTTCAAGCTTCAACAATCTTGTCTACTTTCCCAATCTGCAAAGACTAAAGCATCACTGTTAGGCACAAGTCAAATTATAGATGTGACTGAGAAACATAGTAGGGCATAAGCTTTTCAGGGCTAAATGGCCCCCAAGTTACTAAAGACGTACTATCAAACCTCCCCTAGGAGCAAGCAGTATTAATTCCATTGTAGCAAAAGTGCTTGTACAATCTTAAAAACTGATATATCACTGCATAAGCTTAAAGAGCTGCAAGACTCTCTGCTGCCTTTGCTGCAACAGAAAATAATCTCTTTGTAAACTGGAAGAGCAGACATTTCAGCTACATCCATTGACTGAGCAATCAACCTGGAATTCACACTGGAATGAATAGAAGCAATTTCATCTTCAAAGTATCATGCAAATTGGTCACAGTAAGCTACTAAAGGTTAATAAGAGAACTAAGATGGAAATATCATTATTCCATCCACCCTCACCCACAAATACTGGATGCAATAATAGCAAGGGATTTCTTTGCCACTTCTACCCCAAAGCAATGGTCTCTATCCTATTTTCTGGTTAGATTCACTGATGCATTCGTGCAACATATAGTACTTGAGCAAGCTAAACACGTTTGTGTGGTTTATAGCTCAGATCACTATACAAGCCTAGCCATTGTCCAAGCATATTATATATGAACCAGTCAATCACATTGTATTTTGTTAAAATAAGGTTAGAGTGTAGCTAAGTGGACCTACTACTAAGTGGACCTACTACTGAGGGGCTTCTCCCATTACTCTTGCCTATAACTGCCATTTTCTAGCATCAAGCCCCAAAGAAAACCACAATGCTTACCTGGCTCTAGCAAGTAGAAGAGGGCAAATAGAAGGAATTATTCACAATTAGGTCTCTGATGGGATTGGCAGATTTGGAATAAAAAATGTCCTTGGAACTGTCAGAAAACCACCTGGAATTTCATCTAGAATTCTATAACTTCCTGCCCCATAATTATGAACTTTGAAAGCTCTCTTTTGAAGTTCATAATTATGAAATTGAAGGCAATGTGTAGCTCATCTATCAGTGTTATCTATTCTGACTAGAGAAACTTTAGAGAGAGTGATTTCGTGAGTTCTGTTTCAACTGTTTATGCTAGGGAACCTGGAACTTCCACATGCAAAGAATATGCTTTTTCACACCTTCCATGTAGCAAGAACTTGAGATGCTAATTTACATTGCTACTGAATTATCACAGTTACATAAACTAAGCATTATAAAGTTACATTGCTGGTGCCTCTTATTGTTAAAAGAGAAGCCACACAACACTTTTGGATGCAGACAGGGAGAAAAAGTCACCTTTCAAACCATTTTTCATTCAAACTGGCATAGCACCATGAGTTTGGTAGGCTGTGGTATCCTTTCAGAAATTCCATGCTTTCCTGGTTGCCAGGCCTAGAGACTATTTGGCAGAGGAAGAACTGTTCTTCCTTTAATTGATGACTGCAACAATTCATCCAGTCAAGGCTATTATTCCCACAAACAATTATCAGAAGGAGAAAAAACAGACTATGACTGGGCTCACACAATGCACTAAGCCTAATTGAGAAACATGTTCACCTAACATGCTACCCCTAAACAAATAAATTATAGTAAAGTTTAATGTGAGGGCCTGGACTATACAATGCCCCCTAAGACAATGGCTAACACGATGAATCATGAATTACTCAACTTCAGTTTAGCTATCTAAAATGTGTATAAACATATTTCTGAGATAATGTCAGAAATATGTCAGCTTAGCTTAAAAGAAAACTTCCAGGATAGACTAGTTATTTTTCATGGAAACAAGTGACCGTGGCCTAGTACATTCATAAAAGTCAGACATTCATTCATTTCCAGATATCAGAAACTCCCTGTTGGTCTTCGTCCTTCCCAATTTGTGGGAGTTACATGAGTTATCCTAGTGCAGAATTTCCATTCCATTTAGCATTAATGACCATCAAAAGGGTCATTAAAAATTAAATGTTTAATTAAAAATTTGTTACAATCTCTTAACCAAGTTATTTGAAGATCTAATCCATGTACAGAGTTGTTAGAGTTGCTTAATATTAATCTTGATGTGTTTTTGTGTATGCTAGTATGTTGTTTGAACTCAGCCTATTTAATAGTTTAATTATTATGTGAACCCAGAAAACAGATAGTTAAGTTATTATGTGAACACAACCAATCAAGGTACATTTAGTCCTATTTCCCCCTGTGGCTGACACTTACAAATAAAAAAGTCTTGCTAAACATGAATTTTCCCAGAGTATGAGTTCTCTATACTAGGTTTGATAATATAAGAGTATCCTGGGCATCCAATGAACATTTGAATAGTTGAAACACAAACCTCAAAGTTGGCTTTGGTTGCATGAAAGAGAGAAAGGAGGAGAGCAGAGAAGAGAAGAGAGAGTGGAGAAAAGGAGGGGAAGCAAGAGTGGGGCAATAGAAAATGCTATCCTAGAAAAAGGGTCATACATAGTTAACAGTCCTGCAGCAACAGGTCACAGATCGCTCCCCCCATAACAGTTTCAAAACCACATTGTACAGAAGCAAAGCATGTCTGGAGGTGTGCATGAGCAAATACAACTCTATGGCAGTGGGCACACGCATGGGAGGATGTGAATGCATGTCCGCGTGTGCACATCCACACGCCTAGCACACAAGCCTGGTATGAAGGCCACATGAGAGACAAGCCGCCTCCCCCCAAAACCCCAAAGGTGTGCCACGAACCTTGTCAAGCTGAGCTGCCGCTGGGTTATCAGTCTGTGGGAGAAAGGTAAAGGAGAGGAGGGAGTTAGCACACACAACCACAGCAATCAGCACCTCAGATGCCATCCGCCACCTGCCCCAGGTGCAACAGGGCAAATCTGATGGGCTACCAAAAGGCAAAGCTTTATGGTGCCACTTGTTCTGCTTGAGAAGGAAACCCTAATCCATCTCCTTTGCTTCCAGATGATGGGTGACAGGATTATAATGCGACTCACTCATGGCTCTTCAGATATATGCTATGTTTGTCCAGCACAATAGATGTGAGGTGTTTGCACTGGATGGAGCTGTTTGAAGATCAGCACATAATTATTGTGCTAAGTGTCATTGTATTTCTGCTTTTAATCATTGCTGAAACATTTTCTAGACTGATTTTTTAAAGGAAAGTATACTGTAGAGAATAACACTTATGATAACTTTTAAAAAATACCAACTCTCCCATCATTTCTTTTTCAACAATTAAAAAAAGCTGAACTGTATAGTCATGTTACAGAACTATTAACACCATAATACAAATGTTAATGTTATAAATTATGTTGATATGTCCTATATCTTCTCAAATTTTCTCTAAAGAAAAGGTAACACTAGACTGCAGTGTTATATCTGTAATGTTTGTATTTCAGCATTAATAGTGTGCTAATATATTCACACAATAATGCTAGTTTTTAAAACCTAATCTTTCTAGATACTGCCATTTTGACTATGATTAAAAGGGATTTCTGGATATTTTTTTTAAACTGAACATTATAGAATTATACTGATATTGTACTAATGCTCTCATTCAGAAAAAAATAGCCAGGAAATAATTAAAAGATTAATTAAAAGAATAGGGCCATCAACTACAGTAGCACCCCTTTTATAATAAATATGCTAGGCGGGATTTTTCTAATTTGTCACTGCCTGTACCAAATCCCCTTAACAGTACGAAAGCCAAATGAGTAGACTAAAACACACCTACAAAGATTACGTTCCATTTGCTTTTAACTGAAAGAATGCGAGCTTTTCTAAAATTCAAGAAAACACAGAAGAATTATGAGGAAAAGATAGAATGAGAGTAACAGGATAATAGCACCGTGCTGATCTGTCCTAAATTCAACCCAAATAAGTATGCAAGATCTCTAAGCCTAATTATTGCCCTCTCAATGAAAGCAGTTCCACATTTTGCTCTGGCTATGTGACTGAGATGACCAGGCCATTAGGTCAGAAAGCAGCTTGAATTTATCTTGCAATCTTGTTTAAGGACTGATGATGTGACAGTTATTCATGGCATATGAGCCGAGAGCTACAGCTCAAATTACTGTTAGTCTAAGAACGCACTTCCATCTCAATGTGCCCTGCGGCAAGACTATTATTTTGGGGGACAGCAACGTCTTCTGGAGGACTGCTCCTTTAAAATAAAGATGTTCTGCAAAGGCTTATCAACAAAAGTCAGTTAAATTTGTACTGGACAACAGCCTTGAACAGAGTTACATTGCCACACTATTAAAAATAAAACAGATGGACCTCTGGAAGGGTAGTAATACACTAAGAGTAAAAAAGAATGAGAAAAAATGGATATAGAGGAACAAGTATTTCGTGCTACCTGTGGTGCAAGAACAATCATTAAAGCACCATTTTTATCTGTACTGGGTTACCCATCCTCTACTAAGTATCCTTTGTGGACTCCATAGGCAATGATTTCTAGGAAGTTCCTCTCCTAATCTTTGTGTTTTCATAACCAGGCTTTTTAACATGCTAGCACCTATGCACTTTAGGTTGCATGATCCAATGGCCTGCTTTCTTTGAGTGAATATTGAATTAAACAACTGGTCGACTCACATATTCTTCCCTTCTTATGGCAGATATACATTAAGATCATTCCAGAAAGAAAAAAAAAAACTATATAAAGTTCCCATAAATTATACATACGTTTCTATGAACCTTAATGCAAAATGTTGTCAGGATATTAATTTATGAGATTTATTTATTTATTTATTTATTTATTTATTTATTTATGAACCGTGGTGGCGTAGTGGCTAGAATGCAGTATTGCAGGCTAATTCTGCTGACTGCCAACAGCTTGATCCTTACCAGCTCAAGGTGGACTCAGCTTTCCATCCTTCTGAGGTTGGTAAAATGAGGACCTGGATTGTTGGGGGCAATATGCTAACTCGGCAAACCGCTTAGAGAGTGCTGTAAAGCATTGTGAAGCGGTATATAAATCTAAGTGCTATTGCTATTTATTTATTAAATTTATATGTCACCCTTCTTGCAGTTGGAAGTGACTCCAATATCCAATAAGCTTGGGGAATGTACATTTCTCAAATGTACTGTGTATATTCTTTGAAGAATAGGCACATTCTGCAGTCAATGCACGGAATCATCATAAAGTTCATTTTTAGTTTTGCTCCAAGGAGGGAAACTTTTGCTCATAGGCCCTACACTTTGCTATATTCTCTCTTCTCCCCCCCCCTTCTTTTAATCCAGTGCACAAATATGACGCTCTACGTTCCAACTGTTCAGGTTTCCCCTGATGAATAGCCTTGGGGTGAGAACCATGATTCCCTTCTTCTGAACAAATAAGTAATGGAAGAAAGAATAGCTGCAGCAGCTTTATTTTTCTGATGCTCATCCATTTTAAAAATCTGACACTGAGGGTATGATTGGTGGGGGAAGTTAGCCCCTTTTTTGCACTGCTTCCCATAGCTTTTAAGCTTAGGAAAATATCTGTCCTCTTTCTTCTCCCCTCCACATCACTCAATAGAATGGCAGGGAACAGTAATCAGTGGGGGAGAACTGGGGGGGGGGCTATAACTTTAGCTGAAGTTTGTTCTGTCCCCACTGTTCAGCTGCTCCCTGTCCATTAACTGAGCAATGGAGGGGGAGATTAACCCTCTCCTCTCGCCTCACCTCTAATGCATCTATTCAATTTTTTTTTCTTAAGTTTTATAGCAGTATGTGAAGAATGAAGGAGAGTAATTTTTAGCAGGATTGTGAGGAGAACATATATTCAAAATGCAACAGAAACATTTATATTCCACAAAGCCTGTGGACAATGTAGAAACAATCTCCATGAGGCAGAATGACCAGTTATCTTATACATTGTTTGACTGTGGGGTGTGTGTGTGTGTTATTTTATGTATCTATGTATATATGTATAAAATATTGTTGTTGTTGTTGTTAGTTGTGAAGTCATGTCCGACCCATCGTGACCCCATGGACAACGTTCCTCCAGACCTTCCTATCCTCTACCATCTTCTGGAGTCCATTTAAGCTCACTCCTATTGCTTCAGTGATTCCATCCAGCCACCTCATTCTCTGTTGTCCCCTTCTTCTATTGCCCTCAATCTTTCGCAGCATTTGGCCCTTCTCCAGTGAGTCCTTCCTTCTCATTAGGTGGCCAAAGTATTTGAGTTTCAACTTCAGGATCTGGCCTTCTAAAGAGCAGTTGGGGTAGATCTCTTCTAAGACTGACCTGTTTGAACACCTTGCAGTCCAAGAGACTCGCAGGAGTCTTCTCCAGCACCATATATAAAATATACATCCTGTATAATATATAAATATACTCAGGAGCACACTAGATCAGAAAAACAGTCCAGTTCTAGGATGCTAGCCCAGAAACAGGAAACTGAGTTCTAGTCCCACTTTAAGCATGAAAACTGGCTGGGTGACTTTGGGCCAGTCACATCCTCTCAGCCCAACCCACCTCACAGGGTTGTGCTTGTGGGGAACATAGGAGGAGGGAGAAGTATTAGGAAGTTACTTATAAAATAATAAAGATGGGATAAAAATCCAATAAATAAATAAAACCAAGTAGGAAATTTGTTTTTAGAGTATGATGCATAAGAATCTAGCACATCATTGGAGCAAGTTCAGAAAACAAACAACCTGGTGAATAAATCAAAGAATTTACAAATATGGGCCCTGAGGGTTATAATGTCCAGTATGTTATTTCTAGTATGAAGCTCTAAGCTTAAGATCTCAGAAATGCCAGAACTAAGTTATGATTTTGCACAAGCAGTAGCTAGTGGTATTTTCTGGAACTGATCCACAAGTGCTGGAAAGGAAGATAGATACACAAAAGCAAAAAAAATCATGTCTGGATATCAGCATTTAGCTAAAAACGAATCTCAAGCCTCAATATTTTAATCTGTGGGACCAAGTTTTCATGGATGAAAAAAACTCATCATATGTTTAGCCTGGAAATCAGAAAACCCTTGAAGGACAAGAGTCTGGACCAGCTCCTGCAAAAAGAAGTATCAAAATACCACATGCTATTATGAAAGATGCAAGACAGTTAGTTTAGTGAGAGCTTTTAAAAGTGCATCTTCGATTCAAAGAACATTTCCTGTTCATCCCAACGCATCACCTAATTTTGACCTACCTCTGCACAATCATTAATAATTCAGTTTGAAACTCATAAATGTACAGGATAAGAAAAAGCCTCCCTATAAGCCATCATCAGTTTACAGCAATTCAATTTTTTTACATCAAGTGGCTTCTGCTGGCTGCATAGAGGACTGATTCACTTAACTAGTTTCATATTTAAGTTTTACAAGCAATGGAAAGGTTTTCTGGTTAGTTTCCATGAAGTGTTACAGTGAAACCAAGAGTTTAACGGAACACATGTAAACACATAGAGCAGAGAGATAAGAAACTATGGCTTCCTAGCATACCAGAATCCTTTGGCATGCCAAATAACTGAGTCTCATAAATTAGTAATGTGCTCATTCATTATGAAGGCTCAAGTTCATTTCTCCCCAGACAGCATTTTTCTGAAAATTAGAAGTTGGAGGATTCTTTGATGTAGACCATATGTCATGGCTCTTGCCCTCATTCTACCTCTGCAGCAAGAATAAAAGTGACTAAAATTGAGATACAGATACGTATATAATATGGATTCATACATTTCACATATTCTCTAGTTTGTCTCTCAGTGATAACCACCTGCTTTATTAGCTAAACTCTCCAGATGAAAGGATGCTGGGAAAGACTACTCCTTTCTTGTGGTACTGGAGGGTTGCTGCCAAAGTAGATAAAGTTTAACTAGGTGGACTACTGGTTTTGCTCAAAATAAAATAGGCTTAATATACCACAATTCTAATCTGTACTTGAAAACCAGTCTCCACACATCCATCATAATCAGAAAATGTGTAATAAGAGGGTTTTTTTCAATATTTGGTGAGAAATTACAGATGGCTGTCTAATTCACAAGTGGTTGTTTTGGTAAATTGCAGGTCTTCTTGCTTTCTGAAGATAAGTTCTCCATACTGATGAGAATACTTCCCTCTGGAGCCCTCCTAAGAAGATTACAAAGCTCTTTCCAAAAATTATTTGTCTCTTTTGCGAAGCAACTCTTGAGAAATAAGCTGTAGCTGTTTTAGAGAAGAATGAGGTTATATGGCATCAGAATATTACTTTCTGTACAACTACCAGGGGATCAGCTGAGAAAAGGATCTTATCAGCAGCAAACAAGGTTGGCAAGCAAATGGGTGAAAGACAAGAATGTCACCAGTTTTTCAGGAGGAGGCCTCCAACCCAATTCTAAGTAAAAAACTAAAAATAAAAGCCCCAGCATACTTCAGAAATCCATCTGTTCCAACCTGGCAATGACAAAACCTGGACTGAGAATTGCTTATAGTATATACCAAATTGGTTTAAATTAAGCTGTGAATTTTTTTAAACCATAGAATTTAGTGTTATTTTTCTCATAAGTTGACACAAGCATCCAAAGAAAAGTGGGAGCAAATCCATGCAACAACTGAGGGAAATGGACATGACAACTGAGAGAGAAGACTGCAAACCCAATTTAGAGCCTAAGTTGGAGTCTAAGGATGCTGTCTAAAAGTATCCCTCACTACCCTTCCTTGAACAGAAACTGCTAATGAAATTCAGGCATCTTAGACATTTCATTTTAGCCTATTTTCAACTGTTTATATGTATAATGAACAGCAAGTTTGGACTAATGGTTAAGGAACCAGATTAGAAACTGGGAACCTGTGAATTCTAATACCATCTGAGGCATGATGTCAACTTTAGGCCAGTCATTCTGTCTCAATCCCAGGAAGAAGATAATGGCAAGCCATTTTCAAAAATCTGATCCAGAAAACTGCATGGATTTATTCATGCAGACTGACTGACTTGAAGGCACACACAGACATACACAAAAAATACAATTAAATGAAGCACAATGAAATCCAAGCCAAAATTTAAAATTAGGGAAGCTGGGACAACATGCATCAGAAAATTGAATTTTCTGCTTGTTTGCCCTCTTTTGTTTACAAGATACCAATTCAGCCCAGTTTCCCACTAGATAACATCCAAAGGGATCTAGCTGTAATGTTATCATTCCTGATAACTGCAGGAGAGGCTAGACCAGTTTGGTCTATATATTTATTTGGGTACATACATGATTGGCTTAGCTATTAGGACAGGACCACAACAAACATAGAAGGGGAACAGAGACTCTACAGAATGGCAGTACATGAGAAAAGAGGATCTGTGACTCATCAGGATAACTTGTAGAGTAGGTAAGGACAGTTGGATTCCAGCAAAAAAAAGCAAGACTGGAAGAACTTTCCACCAAGCCAGCCAGCCCATCACGCTACATCATCAAAGCCCACCCACTCACAAATCTACCTATTCACCAATTCTACAATAATTATCCTCATTTACATGCAAGCAAGTTACCTGGAAAGAATATGGACCAAGAACTTTTCAGAGTTCTGCTCTATGCCAGATTTCCCTAGAAACTCCTTATGCTCCTGTGGCATATTAAAGTATCCCTTTACACTGTAGCATCATAACTATATTTTGTAAAACTAATGTTAGGCAGATACTAGGACCCTCTTAAAACTTTTCCCTCTATAGTCAACTTAGCCCTCCCTACATCCTTGGGAGCCACACAACTACCAGCTCTTTATAAATGATATCTATAAGAATCTCTCACATTCCAATTGTCTTTTCAGCAAATGCTGAAGGGAATTCCTACCCCAGAGCTAGCCTTATTGCACAAAATGGCTTCCCACTTTATTGCCCAATCTGAGGGAAATCACTCACAATTCTAGCAGTTTTCCTATGCCTCAAACACAATCCTTCACTGTATTATATGCATAGAATAATATTATCGTTGCTTTCCACTACAGTGTTGCTTCATAGGTTTGTCTCCTTTAAACCACCACTATGGCTTTCCCCACAGAAATAAATAAGCTGTAATATGAGAAATAAAAAGAAATATATATTTTCATACAAACTTGGAAATCCCCTATCAAGGGAAGAGGATAGTTTATTCTGTCACCTTCTTATCTTATTCAGCTGACCCAGCCATTTCGTTCACCAAGCCACACAATGAGGAATCAACTGTCTACAAGTCTGAAGTCTCTAAAATTTGATGTATAATTCTGTCTTACCCAGTTAGTATCCATTTGTTATAAAGATTTATTTATCTTCCATAGAGAATCCTGGAACTGTTCAGAAAAGAACCTTGGGCATTCTCAAACCATCCACAGGTCAATATTAAGTCCTTATGTAGATCTAGCTCTCCTAATAATTATGTATTTTAACATTACAAATAAATATATATCCATCAGCATGAAACAGCAATCATTTCTCAAGAGGAGATGCTGAGGAAAAGTTAAGATCTCATTGGCATTTGGAGGTGTTCCTTCACAGCTAAGGACTTTTATACCGATGCGCCTCCTCACCTCCCTCTTCCACCTGGCCAGCCACTCATCCCGCTTCCTCTTGCTGATGTAGTAGGGGTCTCCAGCTTGAAAGGTCAGACGCTGAACTGGCCTTGGGCGAAGGATGGACTCACAACCCAGTCCTCCACGCAGACGGCCACGAGATCCCTAACAGAAGGAGGGAAATATAAAGAATGGCTACTTCAAAGCTAGCATGGACACATGTGTAGGAAAAAAATATTTCAGGTAATTAAGAAAGCTGCACCTATTTTGCTTCTGCTGGTCATGAGGAATGATCATACTGAACCTTGAAGATACAGCTTTGAGGAAAGTCCTGGTTTGTTTACTACTTGCTTAGTATTGTTTACAGCTTCCAATAATTAATTTTACTAAGCCAAAATGAAAGCTAAGATTCTCATACTATAATTCATCTCACGTTTCTGGATTTCAGAATCCACGCAATTCAGGGTGTGCGATCCAAGGGTACAAATAAATCAAGTCTTAGCTGCATTCATGTCGTATAATGAAGAACAGCTATGGTAATGGTGTCCATCAAGGACAAAAAAAAATAATCAGTTTCAAATCTTACCTATTTTTAGTTGTGTTTACACAATGAACTAGAGTAATTTTAAATTGGCTGGGTGTTAATTTGTGGTTTTGTGAGTTATAAAAACATGAGTTGTATTATATTCATTGAACCAAATTGTTATGTATATCAAAAATGTTATTTCTTTAATCACATAGAGTTACATTACATGAACATGGCAGCTATGCTTTACTAATCTTGATTTAGGATTTAGTGTGTTGTATAAATGCAAACATTTTAGGCAATCACTTTCTTAGACTCTCTTCAAATTTAATAATAATAATAATAATAGTAATAGTAGTAGTAGTAGTAATAGTAATAATAATGATAAAGTTGGAAGGGATCTTGGAGGTCATCTAGTCCATCTCCCTGCTCAGGCAGGAAACTCTATACCATTTCGAACAAGTGGCTATCCAGTTTCTTCTTAAAAACTTCCAGTGTTGGTGCATTCACCGCTTCTGGAGGCAGGTTGTTCCACTGGTTAATTGTTCTAACTGTCAGGAAGTTTCTCCTTAGTTCTAGGTTGCTTCTCTCTTTGGTTAGTTTCCATCCATTGCTTCTTGTCCTGCCTTCAGGCGCTTTGGAAAATAGCTTGACTCCCTCTTCTTTGTGGCAACCCCTGAGATATTGGAACACTGCTATCATGTCCCCCCTCGTCCTTCTCTTCGTTAAATTAGACATACCCAATTCCAGCAACCGTTCCTTATATGTTTTAGCCTCCTGTCCCCTGATCATCTTTGTTGCTCTTCTCTGTACTCTTTCTAGAGTCTCAACATCTTCTTTACATTGTGGTGACCAAAACTGGATGCAGTATTCCAAGTGTGGCCTTACCAAGGCATTATAAAATGGTATTAACACTTCAAGTGATCTTGATTCTATCCCTATGTTAATGCAGCCTAGCACTGTGTTGGCTTTTTTGGCAGCTGCAGCACACTGCTGGCTCATATTTAGGTGATTGTCCACTAGGACTCCAAGGTCCCCCTCACAGTTAGTACTATTGAGCAAGGTACCCCCTATACTATACCTGTACATTTTTAGAGTCTGGAGTAACTTCAGTTGCTAAGCCACCAGTCATAAATCAAGGACTACCTGTATGCTAATTTTTTTAAGGGATGCAGAGCTTATAGGCTATTGGAGGAGGAACTCTATGAGATGCTAAGTCTGGTAAGTTGCCTATCAAATAACAGAGCAAGAGAGGAAAAGAGACAGATCTTATTTTGCTTTGATGCACAATGCCATAAGTGATATGACATATTTTACGACAGCTGATCTATAGTCTATTTATGCTTGCAGTGCCATTTCCTGAAGCCCAGATTCATGATTTCTCCTAGACGAACATTGTTCATGTAGTGGAACAAGCAAGCGGTTGTGTTTATACAGTCTATTTGGTTAAAAGTGATTAATTGTAGGGTGGCTTATCATGTTGTGCAAATCCAGCCCATTTGGTTAATAGAAGAATATTTCCAGATGTGGTTTTTTCAGGTTTTAAACTTTCAGGTTTAACTTTTCAGATTGCTAAATTTTCTGGAAAGTTCTGAAATGCCCCCAAGCTTGATCCAGGCTGTTTTCACTACAAATCTGTTCTTCTCTTCCTATATGCACAATAACAGAAAATGAACAGAATAAAATAGCAACAGAGCAGCAAGAACTGTTTGTTCCATGCTGCTTTTTTTGTTTTTTATTCTCTTCTACAATCTATCAATTTTGGAAAAAAGCAATTGTCTTAAAACAAAAGTTTCAGGTTATGGAACTTATACAAATCTATTAGTACTTCACAAATTTACAGTTTGTTTATAAATGTGTTATAGCCACCCAATTCTGATGGACTTTTGCACATGTTATGACATCATTGGATCAAAAGGGGACTCATCCTTCCCTAAACCAGGGCTCTTTGTCTGTTTGCAAAGGCTCTCTCCAATTTGCTGTGCAAACCCAGAAAATGGGAAAACACAGAAAGCAGGTTAAGCTTTCTGTAGAAATGCAGTCGTTGAATTGTTCTCAGCAGCTGCCTGTATCCCTTCTCTTTCAAAGTCAAAGAGAACATTCTGGAAGTATTACAAAGGCATTCTATTTGCCAAAGGAAGGGTGAGGCATTCATGTTTATCTATCTTTGGATACTGACAGGATTCAAAACTATTCTTGCTTCACTATTGCACAGCACAAACTCAGGAGTGAGGATGCCTATAAATATGAGCAAATGTGAAGAATATCCTGAACCCTGCCCATTTGGCCATCTTTATATCCTCCTAAAACTATAGCGATGACTTGGAGTACATCAAATGGTTTAGCCTTCAACAAACAGAATGTTTTACAAGACGAGCTAAGTTACCTGCCTTCACTGAATTAAGAAAGTGACTGGGACCAGCACACTACAAAACTGAGTGCCTTGGGTCACTGTGTGATCTATATCCAATAAGGGCAGACATAGTTAAAGAATGCTAATTTTTATAACTATCGCATACATATGCAATTCAACTTCTGACTTATTTTCCCATAGAACAACTGCTGCCTTTGGAATAGAAGTAACATTATCCTCAACCCATGAAATTCTCATACAATACTTGCCTCCATTTTTAGTGAGTTGTAGTGGTTTTCTTCCTTGTCTTCTTTGCCTAAAAAAAAGAAAGAGAGGTTAGAATTAGTATGGGGCCAAACATATGGTTTCTATTGGGATCAAATGTACTTGGAGCACTTTACCTCCAACACAGGGTCTTTTGGTCATATCAAATGATAGATAATATGGGACTACCTGCATATTAAACTCCTCTGAGCATCAGAGGGATTTTTTTTCCAATTATTGGAGTAGAATAGAGTAGAATAGAAAATAATAACACAAGAGTTTCAGAGTTAACACTGAAATATAATACAAATACTGCAGTCTACACAACTATTCCTTTTGGCCAAGATTCTCATATCACAAATACTCAAAACATCCATTTAGCAAAAACTCTCAGTAACATGCATTAAAATGTTTCTTCTTGAAAGTTCAACTTTTATTTGTATTTATTATTAGATTTATTTTTTTACAGCTCAATGTGATGTATATAATGCTTCTATCTCTTAGAATCTAAGCAACTAGAAAAAGTCAATCAGCCAGCTTTCAAGTTAAAGAAACAACTAGAATTCCCAGTTGACAAGGTCCTAGTCCAGCACCTTAACTACTACACCAAGCTGGTTCTCTTATGGAAAATTTGATGATGATTTCCACCTTGAACACTCTAATTGTCAGTTTCTGTTTCTCTGGCACAGAGAGTCTGGGGTAATGTAAGATGATGGCCAACTAGTATGAAACAGAGCCAAGCTCAGTTCCTACCCCGTTTAAAAATGTTACGTGTGAATAGTTTATATGATCACAGCAAGGAAGAAACAGGGCCTTTGAGCTTTTGGGGCTTTGAGAACAGCCTTGATTTGTATGCTGAATGTTAGTTAGTGAGCCTTAAGTATTGTGCATAATATAATATTCCGGGAAAAACATAATGTTTCTTCATACTTGCAGGAATATAAATTGTTATTGGAACAATTAAGGATACTATGGAACGCAAACTGTGCAAGACAATTAACAAAACATTCTCCATTCCTGTCTATGGGGTACAGGATGCTAAGCTAGATTCATTTTTTGGAATTAGAAGGATATTGATCGTTCTTTTCTACATATACTGTTTTCCTTTGTCCTTCCACTCTCCACTTCCTGGAAAATCCTGGAAAACTAGGATGCTGTTTCAATAGCTATGCTCCTGCTCTGGAATGTCTTCCCCAGAAGACATTCCCACTTGACTGTCTTCAGCTTCAATGAAGATTCTCTGTCCCACAAGTTTTCAAATCTTTTTGTTTTGTTTTGAAACCTGTCCTTGTTCTTTTTGTATTTTTCCAGGTTGTGAGCCTTCATTCTGCAGTAGTATTATAAAGCATTAGTCATTGGGCAATAAAGTCAAAGTAGTCTTCTTAAAGTCGAGGCTGAATCCTAATGATTTCACAATTTCCTTGGCAACAATATGGCAGGGGACCACCATTGCTGTCTTTTGGGGGGCTTTTTAACCGTATACTTTAACCTCCAACTGTGATACCCCGAGGTTCTCCTATCCAAATACTAAAGAGGTCCAAACCTATTTAATTTCTCAGCCCAAACAAGATAATCTGGGTTCCACCATCTGATGAGACTTGTTGGATAGTATACAGATTAGAAAAGAAAGAAAATAGTAGTAATAAAGTTGCAATAGATCACAACAAGATACAAACAACAGGCAACTAAAACTATATAAAAAAAAACCTTGTAGGGCATTTTGAAAAACCACCAGGTGGGCAGAAGGAAAAGAGAAAAACAGGACTGAAAAGTCAATCAATGATGTGGTTAGAAACTGTAAGTGTAGCTGCCAGAAGAGATCATCCCACAACAGGCTGTTACAGCAGGTGTAACTTCGAATGGTTGCTAAATTAAACTTTGTGATCTGATGACCCTCTGTATAGCCATTGCCTATGTCAGCTAAAAATGAGGGGAGCTAAAGTCTGAGAAGTATTTGGTTAAGGAAGGAAGCTAAGTTTCCTTTCATTTTCTTTACAAATCGCTGAAACATCCCAAATTTTCCTAAATCAACTCATTCTGTTGAAGAAAGTACTAATCATGAATAACAGAAGCATCCAGATCCCACCTTTTCTGACTATGATGCCTTCATCTTTCTCTTTGCTCTGGCATCAGTCAAAAGGATTTTGCAGTGCAATGATTAGAATACAGTATTGCAGGATAGCTCTGCCATAGTTCAATTCAGACTAGTTCAAGATTGACTCAGCCTTCCATCCTTCCGAGATTAGTAAAATGAGGACCCAGATTATTGGGGACAATATACTGACTGTAAACCTCTTAGAGGGCTGTAAAGCACTATGTAGTGATATACAAGTCTAAGTGCTATTGCTATTTTTAAGTCATGGAACCATCTGGCCCTTAGGGAGAGGCCCTTTCACAGAGAACCTTTTCCTGCAATGCTGCAGGATGCACAATCGGTAAAGATGCACCTCTCCCACCAAAATATTCATTGTCAATTGATGTTAGGGTTCATCTTAGTAATCTTCGTACTTTACAATTTTAAAAATCTTTAGCTTTTTTAACTTAGTAAATTTAATAGAATGCTTGCTATACAAAACAATAAGGTATAACTTGACTAAACAAATGAAGTAAGTAAAAGGCTGACAATGTTCATTCTAAAGAGCTGAAGAGCTAGGAAACACAGCTCCCTTCACTTGCTGGGGAGCCTCTTAGAAGACTTGGAGAAATACAGGTGAGCACTCAGGAAAAGCCCAGCAGGCAAATCAGATCTGAGGCCTGTGCAAGCTGGCAAATACAGTCTAACATGGGGAGGGGAAGAGGAAAGAGCCCCATTCTGTCTCCTTTGTCCTGTGATGAGTTGGCTCGGCCTCTTCTGTTCACCTCTTGCTATAACATCTCTTGCTGTTCACCTCTTGCTTGTATCTTTTTCTTATGAGAACTCACCTCCTTGCAGGCTTACATCAAAGTACCATAGCATCCAATGTACTATTTTGGCTATGGGGAGAAGGGACAGAATGGAAAGCAGACTTGAGGGGCCTCAGAAAGAGAGGAAAAAACCATGTATCAAACAAAACACATAGCTTATTCAAAGATGCATAAAAGATGCAGGTGGAAAGAGGGGGATGGTAATGACTTAATGGTCCATTCCAGCTCTATGATTTTATTAGTTAGGGATGGATATTGAATCTGGAAAGAAATTAGTGATGTCCACCAGATGTGAATTACTTAAGAGTTCAGAATCAGATACTTTTGTGTTCCTCTGCTATGGGGCTACCCTTTATTTTTAATTGACAGCACCCCAATGTTAGCATTTTAACTGGGAATTGTGATGAATTATTTACTGTTTTAAGATGTCTCACTTTTGAAGTAATGCAAAAACTGCTTTAATAAATAAAACTGCACTATAACCACAACTTTGGCATGTCTACCCCCTTTGGGCCAGCAAGCTCCACATAGAGAATCTCACTTTATTCAGATCAGGCCAGACAACATTGCAGCAAGAGCTTAAAGTTTCTGGAAACTAAGCATTGCAGCCAAGCCAAGCATTGCTGAGATGACATATAAGCAGTCTATAAGCCAATTGGCAAAATGCCTTGACCAAACTTTACGGTCCTGGCTTTATTTTTTTTCCCCCTATGTCTAAAATATTTGAGTGTATAAAAGACTGTTGTTCACCTTTCTTATTTTTAAAACTAGATTTTAGGTTATTTTTGTCTTATTGAAATACAATACATTTCCTGCCCTTGGTCATCTTTAGCCTGCCATATCTTTAAATGTCTTAAGAGCATCAACATTTCACAACTTACAACAGCTATCCTTTATTTCATCAAGGTGCCTCCCATCCTCGCTCCTTCCCCATCCTTTGAAAGTCCCCTCCCTTTTCTTATCACATTTCTTTGAATACTGGGATGCCTGGGGCTGACTTTCCAGAACTCAATACTCTAGGGGACAAAGACATTCTGGGGGCACACCCCAAAACAATTCTGGGATCGCTTGGTAGTTCTGACCTGCCATTCGCACTCTCCCCCTTTGGGATCCTCTGCTTTCAGAGTTTGCATCTGGCAAAAACTCAGCCTGAAGGAGGCCCCTTCCCAACAAATGCTCTTGGCAGGGCAGCAGTTAAGAAGACCCCACCCCTTTACAGGCTTCCTGCCAGCAGGAAACATAAGCTCCCTGGGAACATGGAATTCGCCACTCTCATCCATTCCACAAAGGCTGTCCCTTGGATTTTGGGGGCAGGCTCACCCAAAAAAGAGTGGGGAGGCAACAAAAACCAGACTGGAAAGACAAAGCAGATTCTCTTATAAAGTTTGAGGAAAAGTGGAGAGAAGAAGACAAGATTTGTTTAGCCCACCCTTAGCAGAGGTAGCCTCACCTTGAGAAAAAGTGGGCTGGCCTCCTCAAGGACAGATTTGGGGTTTATTAAGAGGTACAAAAAGAGATGGGATAGACAGAGAACAATCCACCACCACTAATTTATCATTCCTAAGTTCCTCTGCTACAAATCTAATCAATGGGAGTAGTCAGTCCTACTTTTTTGGCCTGAACAAGAAAGAAAGAATTCAAACATTCATATTTAATCTCTTTTGCATAGGATAAACTTGGCTTCTTCATTTGAATGACACCTGTAAATATCTGCACATCAAACATTGGCTCAGGAATCAGTCTTGCCCCTCCCTTGCTTCAAGGCAACTGCATGCCTTCCTTTATCTTTTTTATTAAAGCTTCACATATATGTTGATCTGTTCATTCATTACCTTATTTTTTTTTTTAAAAAGAAAGCAACACTTTTTAAATTGCAAAGTTGTTTTGGGAGCTTCTTAGTGATTTCACAAGACCTTGTCAGTTATTACTGCTAGCAGGAAGGTTCTTGTGCAAGTTGCAGAACCTTGACCACTGATAGAAAAAGATACAAAATACAATAAAAACTGCTCCACAGCTTTAGGATATGTGACATACTGTCAAGCTATAGTTCTGTGACAATAATCACAAGAAAAGAGAATATATATAGCTCAGGGTTGAACTGTAAAGTCCTTGGTGGTCTCTGAGTTTGGCTGTTTGCCTGCTGACATTTTGTTACCAGACTAGGTAATATTATCAGTGCACTAGTCTGGTAATGAAGCTTCTGCACAACAACCAAGCTCAGAGATCACTAAGGACTCTCTCTACACATCTACAAGGCTCCAGGTCTACATCATTTCTTTCTTTGCCATAGATAGCTTCGATTAAACCTCCTCTGCACTATTCACTTAAGTTTCTAGGATGTGAGAGCTTGACTAATCCTATATGATAGTTATCCTTGATACCTTAAACCAGTGATTCTCAACCTTTCTAATGCCGTGACCCCATAATACAGTTCCCCATGTTGTGGTGTCCCCCAAGTGGGTGTGGCCACCAATAAGAGGGAGTAGGACAGCTAGGGAAAAGGGAAAAAAATGGCGGACAGCATGGTTTGGTGACCCCCGTGAAATGGTCATTTGACCCCAAATGGGGTCCCGACCCACAGGTTGAGAACCACTGCCTTAAACTCTTTCCTGTTTAGACTACAAGAGGCTGATCTCACACTTTCTGTTCACCTTCACTAGTAGGTGGATCGGGACTGTCCTTGGGGGTGCAGCGTCCGTTTTCCAGGGCCCGTCCCATCTCTCCTTCTGGCGGGCCACTGGGTTCGTTTTCACTTCGCTGCCTGCCCTTCAGATCGGTGATAGTGCAATTCTCAGAAGCGCCCATCTCAGCATCTCCATTGGGCACTTGCTCCATAGGGCTGGTGTTGTGGGTAGGTGGGGGGCACTTGGGTGCTGAAGCTGTGTCTTTGGGGATTTCACTGGTCTCCACCTGAAAAGGACAAAAGCAGGAAAGAAAGAAAAAAGGTGTGAAAAATAGCTGAAGTCATTCACACCTATATCTGGAAGAAGACCCCAGGACAAAAGAAGCCATCAAGCCTCTATAAATCCCATCTAAGGCAAACCTTGACAGATTTGTGAAGGAAGCCCTGCTGTCTAATGAGAAAACATTTGCTTCACATCTAAACAAGAACAAATCTTCCTGCACCACAAAGAGTAACAAACTGTAGCATATGCTTTTGCAAACCAAACCCCCACCATTAATTGCATGGATTGTTATCCTGAGCTGCCAAATAAAGTCACACAATGTAAGGAGAATAAGAAAGAAACTACTGCTAGCTGTGAGATATGAGGGAAAGAAATTCAGGAAAAAAGGTAGTATATTTATATGACAATTACATTAAGAATTAAATGTAAGTACATTGTAATAATCTGTAAAGTGCTGCCAATGTATAATTTGCATTGATAAATAGAAACAAGGTGTATTTTGAATTACATTTGAGGTGAATAAAGATTTCCCATGGGTTAAAATATGTAGAAAGAGTAATTTTTAAGCATCTTTTATCAAATCTTACTGATAAATTATCTACAACTGTATGTAACTAGAGGTGCCTTGGTCCCATGTGATGATAATTTCCCATTTTTTTAATTAAAAGTTTTAAAAATTTTATACAATGTATATCCCAAATCCCTCCCCCCCCTTCCCAAAGCTGATTACAGGGTTAAAAATAAACAATCATAATCTAACTAACATTATCCAACTATATTAGCAATCAAATCCATAACATACTTTAACTTCTTTTCAAGATAAATATTAACAAATTAAAAACATAAATAATAATATAATTAAACCATAATACTAAAAATAATATAAATTCAACCATCTTAAACTATTAATAATAATCTAAAATTTACTCATAAGCTAAATAATACTTTTCCATCTTATATTTCTTCTGAATATAATCAATCCATCTTCTCCAAACCGAAATATATTTTTCTTGTGAAGATGTGGAGATTTTTGCCATTTCTGCTAAATTAGACACCTTAAGTATCCATTCCTCCATAGTAGGAAAAGAATTTTTCTTCCAATATTGCCCCACCAATAATCTTGCAGCTGTTATCAGATTCAACATCAAATTAATTTCTTTAACATCAAGATCTACAATAACACCTAACAAAAACAATTGCAGCGTGAACTTTATCTTTCTCTTAAAAATCTTTTGAATATTCCACCAAATCTTAATCCAAAAAGCTTTTATATCTTTACAAGTCCACCAAATATGATAATAAGTTGCATCTAAGCTTCCACATCTCCAACATTTGGGCTGTAAGTTAGGATACATACAGGACAGCTTTTGAGGATCCAAATGCCACCTATAAAACATTTTATAAAAATTTTCTCTTAAATTTTGAGCTTGAGTAAATGTTACATTTCTAACCCAAATTATCTCCCATGAATCAAATCGGCTCATAAATATTTTGAGCCCATTTTACCATACAATCTTTAACTAACTCCGTTTCAGAATCCAATTCTATTAAAACATTATAAATTCTCTTTATATGGGCTCAAGTTTGATCTTTAATCTGTTTTACCAAATTCACATCCTCTAAAGTAATACCAACCTTTTGATCTAAACTCCACCTCACTAACAATTGGTTGTACTGAAACCAAGAATGTACAATATTTTCTTGCTTCAATTCAGCTAAAGCTTTTAATTGCCAATCCTTCCCTACCAAACTAAGTAATTCCTTATAAGAAATCCTATCCAAATTCACTCCCCTAGATACCCCCTCTATCGCGTGTCCAGGAATTCCCCAAATTGGAATTTTATAGTTTAACCTATAGTAATACTTCTTCCAGACATGCAATAAAGCATTTCTTAAAATATGAGATTTAAAAACCTGATCTACTTTTTTATCACAAATTAAATATGCATGCCATCCATATAATAAATCCCATCCCTCAAGAAAAAGTATATTTTTATTAGTTAAATTAAGCCAATCACTAATCAATGTTAAAGCCACCGCATCATAATACAATTTTAAATTAGGTGCCTTAAATCCTCTTCTTTCCCCTGCATCTTGTATAATCTTAAACTTAACTCTTGGTTTTTTCCCTGCCCAAATAAACTTGTTAATCCCCTTCTACCATTCCTCCAAGTTGGCATCTTTTTTCAAAATAAGTATCATTTGGAATTAAAAAAAGAAACTTTGGAAGAACATTCATTTTAACTGCTGAAATTCTCCCCAGCAAAGATAACTGTAGTTTTTTCCAATTATTTAAATCCTTTTGCACTTTTACCCGTAATGTCTCATAATTATTTTTATACAATTTAACATTAGAAGCTGTAATATATAGTCCCAGATATTTAACCTTTCTCCCTATTTCAAAACCTGTTAATTTAGCTAACAAATCCTTTTCCTTCATAGACATATTTTCCGATAGTATTTTAGTCTTCTTGTTATAATTTCCCTTTTAAGGTCTTGCATAGGGCTCATTTATTAAAAAAACAGCTCAGAAAAACAAAACCACTGAAGGTAGATGATTAGATTTATGTTAGGTTTATGCTTTGTCAATTGTACTAGCTTCCAGTCTGTTTGGGGATTTAAAGTACTTCTTATAACTGACTCTATGAGGGAGATGGGCAGCCTCTAAATGTGATAAATAAATAATTAAAGCCCTAAATATGTAGCTTAGGACCAGATGAGTTGAAAGACTGATTTAGATTTCTCTAAAAAGCCCAATTTAAAAGTCCCTGTGAAATTAAGGAAGAGATTTCTTTTCAACTACCACTACCAAGTCTTTTTAAAAAATGGGTATTTATGTTTGTTTATAATAGAGAATAAAGTTGAGGAATGCCCACATTTTATAAATTAATGACTGATGGATAAAAGTTAGACTTGTCTTCTGTTGCTGCCTTTGGCTCTGAAACACTGCAAAAAAACTTCACGGCTTAGAGCAGTGGTTCCCAATCTTTTTAATGTCGCGACCCCCAACCGGTCGTAAGTCGAGGACTACTCAACCGGTCGTAAGTCGAGGACTACGCAACTGGTGCAGCACTGTTTGCAGAATGGGATTTTTGGTGGGCTCAGCAGGGCAGAGACAGCCTGGACAATTCCTATTGGCTTTTGAAAGCCAATAGAATTAGACTCTATTCAAGAGAGTCTATTATATTGGCTTTCAAAAGCCAATAGAATATGTGGTTATAAAGAGGCTTCTTATTATCATATTTGGTGGTCATGCAGAGAGATAAAAGCATTTTGGATCAAAATATGGTGGAATATCCAGAGAATTTTTAGAAGGAGGGTAAAATTTACTCCGCAATTATTTTTGTTAGTTATTGTTACAGATTGTGATACAAAGGAGGTTGTATTGATGTTAAATTTGATCACAGCCGCGAGGCTGTTAGTTGGACAATATTGGAAGAAGGAATCTTTGCCTACATTGCAGGAATGGTTTTTTAAAGTAGCTTATCTGGCGGAAATGGCAAAGATTTCGGCTTTCTTAAAGCAACAAACGCAAGAGAAGTTTTTTGCTATCTGGGACAAATGGATAAAATTTATACAATTTAGATTGGGTATACAAAAATATCATATAGCTTTTTCATAAGTTTTATTTTTATATATATTATAGATATCTTTTTTGTATATATAAATATAAAGTTTTTAATTTAATTTTTATTTTTTTTTTTATTGCTTAAGCCTATATTCTGCTCTGGGAAGCTCAGGGGGGGGGAAGGGAGGGTTTTTGGGAGGGGTGTGGGGTGGGGTTTTTTTTTTATATGTATTGTTTAATTTTCTTTTTCTTCTGTATATGTTGTTTTTTGTTTTGTATTGTTCTTGTTTTTCTTGTAAAATTTATAAAACTTTTAATAAAAAAAAAAAAAAAAAAAAAGCCAATAGAATAAAAGGGAGTAGCACAGCTAAGGAAAAGGGGAAAAAAATGGCGGACTGCGTTGTTTGGCGACCCCCGTGAAATGGTCATTCGACCCCAAATGGGTTCCCGACCCACAGGTTGAGAACCACTGGCTTAGAAGTAAGAGGTCTCAGCAATCTTTAAACTGAATAGGCACAGTTTAAGCCCTTAATGGGGGAAAAACAGTAAGTAGTTCTTGCACTTTTATGCAAGGGAGAATACCGTATAGATCCATTGCAATTGAGAGAGAAACAGGATTTTGCAAGGTGCAGGAATAACAGTGTCTTGTCAGCTTAAAAGTATTGCCTCCTATCTGAACACAACCATTGAAAAAAGAAAAGAAATGGACATGTTAAGAAGTGTTATTCTTAGAGGATGCTTTGATAACTCCTTTTATCACTAACCATTTGTTTCTTTCTCTTAAACTTGTTTTCCTTTGGATCTAAACTAGATCTTATGAGGAAATAAACCGTTTGGTGTTACTGAAGTTGTTGCTTGGTGTCAAGAGCCAAATGGGATTCCCCATCTATACAATATTTATTTCTGAAATAGTTCCATGGGCTCCCTTCTTCTCTCAATCACCTTTGCTGAAGCCAAGTGAATTAAGATCATCTCAAAATCACATTTTCCTGCTGCTAATCACAGATTCATCTTGCACAAACATCATCACTTGCATACTGTCATTCTGCATCAGCCCCAATTCCTTCCTAGAGATCTTCTTTTGCTTCTTCGTTTTTACTAGGTAACTGTTAAACTATTAGGCTTCCGGAGAAGAAGGAATATATGGCTACATACTCTACCAGATATTCAATCTTGGCAGAAATTGCAATTTTAAAAAAATATATTTTATTGTTTTTTTAATTTTAACAAAAAGTACTTAAGACACACTGTGGTGTTTGGGTAAACAAACATTTCAAGGTAAAAAACATACATAAACAGCTCAACTTAATATATTCATTATCATCTCTCTATTTCTCACAAATAACATAATAGATTTAATATATTCCATTTCTAGCTTAAATTTCGACTACTCAACCTGTTTTAAAGCTTTATCAATTTAAAATTACCATAATCAA